GTTGCACAAGATTGTCGCTGCGATAGCAATTGTTTTTCTTTCTCGTTAGTGTAACTACATCTTTTCCTTAATAAATTATCCCTGACACATACGCATGGGTGCAGCAGTCATTCAATGATATGATAGTGAGATTGAAACAATTTACAACTAGAATAATCAACATTTTAACAACCTGTTTTTCTTTCTAAATTGGAGAAATCGAGAAAATATATCTAAATAAATTTTGCCGCCTTAATAGTTTTGAAAACATTTAAATGGAAAATAAGCTAAAAACGGTTATTAAATAATTTGCATTTTATTTTTTAATTGAAAAAAATAAAATTTTCTACGAGATATACAAAATTTAAAAAAAAAATTCAGCTCTTTTAGCCTTACGATTAGACAAGAAACGCGGAACATAAAAATAATATTTGCATACATTGAGAGGAAATCCTCTTCTATTTTTTTGTGAAGAAAATAACATGCTCTCGCTTCCATTTTATTTGCAAGCCCAGCACTAAAGACGTTCTTAGCGCTTATCGACGCACCATGCGGCTGTGCACGTGCTGGCAATATTTTCAAAGGGAGAGGAAAGGGTGTCTAGCTGAAAGGGAAAGTGGGTGGTGGAAAGGAATTGAGGGTGTGTAGCTGCTGGCGATGCCATATACACACACAGGACGAAATTCGCGGAACTCAAGCACACGCTGAGTAGGGCTCTCTCAGAAAAGGAAGAATCTCGCGAAAGGTTCAAGATCTCTTTTCTCTCTTTCTGTGTGTTATAAATCAAACGCCCTTTTCCAATTTCACGATCCCTATTACTTGCTTCATTTCGATTTCTTTTTTTTTATAGTTCTTTCGAACCTCTGCTATGTTCATAATGTAAGGCATCTCTTACATGTGATCGATATAAGACAATTGGCTTTACTGCATGCATTCCCTAAATTCCAGAATAACCTCCTGTTTCATTGAGTCTTGCCAAAGTTATGCGAAAGTCAATTAAGCCCACGTGCCTCATTGCTTTGCGAAAGGTGATCCGACATATTTCCTAAAATGAGTGACTAAGCAATGCTGCCAGTAGAATGTGCAATTCTCGTCAAAAATATTCAATTTCGAATTTTATCATTTCGTTACACTTACAATAAAATTTGTTTTTACTTTTTGGTAAAAATAAATTTTTCTTAAGAAAAAAAGGAGAAATTATTGTATCACAAGAAACCAATGTGCAAGAATGAAAGTGACAGACTTGCCAATTAGTGGGCACATAACTGTCGCGCAAGCAATGTTTGCATGTGTAATAGCGGGTAACGTTATATATATGCTATTTCGTTTGAACCGAAAGGCATGGAGGCGAGAAAGAGAAGGCACGCACATTCATCCAACTAATATATGCACTTACAGTTTACAAATGGAGAAGACACCCACCAAGTAAAATACAATGAAAAAAAAATAAAATAAACAAAACTAATACACCTCTAATATTGCTAGACACATCAAATAAACATACCAACAAACATACACATTTTTGGCAGAGTTGAATATTCATTTTGAAATAGATATTAACAACACAGTAAATAGTCAAGCAGCTGCTTTATATTGTCGGCTCAGACACTAAAATATTTGTTTCCTGGACAAAGTGAGAAAGAGAAAAATAGAGAGAAGATTCTGGGGAATCATTAGGCAATCGGGTCCAAGTCACGGTTTTCTGAACACACAGAAATGGTATCGTCACGTTAAAATTTCAACTCGGCAAAGCAACACCCGCTATTGGAGTATTAAATTTAATGCCGGCAATTACTCCAAGTCAACATGTCAACTGCGAAGCTAATAGCCGAGGATGATGGAACCATCTTTTTGGTTTCTCTTTTGCTAATGATACTGTTACATCAAACGGTCAAAGAAATTACTACGAGGACAGATCTAAAGCGCGACTTTACGTTACAACCTGATTATAACCGTTATTTCGAGTTTCGTATATGTTGACACTAAGTGAAAATTCGAATGTGAAATTAAAATTTTTCAAAATTCTTTTTTTTTAGAATTCATAAATATTGATTGACCTTCAGGGAGGGGGAAACAAATTTTGGTCATTCTCTTTGAAAGAGGAAAGTGTTGATCCCGTCTATTGAAACGGTGAGATCGATTAGGTTTCTAGATACATTTTTAGAAGGCGATACACAGGAAGGTGGAAAGACAATATTAGAGGCAAAGAAAAAAAATGCAACACACACACACATGTAAAGAAGTCGAGACATTGTTGGGGTGGTGAAGAAATACAGACAAGCCAGACGTCACTAGTGAAGGGTGGTTGGCGAAAAATCAATAGCACTGTATGTGTGTTAGTATTTTATTTCACGCCACCATCTGTTTCATACTGAACTATCGAAGCAACTTTACATCAAGGGGGCATTCCACGTGAATGGCTAAAATATATATACACCTTTTGACAAATAGGTTACATCAACCCCAATTAAATCATTCCAGTAATTAATGTCATTATTCAATCATTACAATTTGTAAATTTAAACTTGGAAAAAAAACTTTACCTGGAACAACGATAGGTTTTACTAGAACAGCGATATATTTTACTAAAACAGCGAAAGTTATCGTTATTCTAGAGAAACATATCGCTGTTTCAGATAAAGATTTTTTTCCGTGAAGGATAAACAATAATAACATTTAGAATTTCACAAGATATAATTTAATCGATGCAACTAAGAAATTTTCTCAATGAGGGGTTAGTGAGGACAGATCAGAAACATATTGTCTGTTACTACACAAGGTTCGTGTCAGGTAGATCTCTCGACATAAGGGAGAGGACGAGACAAGATACTGAGCGAGGACAATGCTCTCTTACATTAGGGCCCCTCCTCACGTTCCCCTTATCCGAGTCCCCAACGTTCAACCCTCGACGACGTCAAAAAAAAAAAAAAAGAAAAAAAAACTCAACTCCCGTGGCGCCAAAGGCGCTACTGACATTTTGGTCACGTGGCATTTACTTGAATAGGTTGATAAATCAGTCTAAAAAAAAAATTCAGCGCGAAACGACCATAAAGAAAAAAGTACCATAAAAAACAAATTTGTAATCTGATAAATATAAAAAGCCAATCAAAAGGAAGATAAAAATACAATAAAAGAATTGTTACTAGAATACTTTCTCATTTATGATGAGAATTAAATGTAAAAAGAATGATTTAAAAATTTATGTGAATTCAGTGAAATTGTCAAAAATTAGTGCGTATACGAACAATAATAATTAAAAATGCAAATTGTGTATAGAATATTAGATGAAATGAATTATTAAAACTCGTGAAACACCAAATGGACGTAAAATTATGTATTTACTAATTTCCCTGTTGAATTCAAAAGCGAGAAACAACAATTTGTCTCTTTAATTACGATGTAAATCGTTAATGACAGTCATCTCTACTTTTCGTGTCTGTTTTACATATTCTCGAGACGATTAAATTACCCAAGAAGATAGGAAAGAAGAAAATTTAAATTTAGTTGAAAATGTCAACTACTAACGAAGCTCCTTTTATAAAAAGGAAAATATATTCCTTTTCGCATTAAAAAAAAAAAACTCTTTTACATCTTGAAACAAGACAAAGATTTTTCTATATTCCTCAAAAAATTTAAATTCTAGAAATTCTATTTTTTTTTTACAAAATAAGTTTTTCAAAAAGAAAAATGTACCAAAAGTGAAGAAAAGTAAAATTGAAATTGAGAATTGGAGAAACTATTTTGAAAAACGAAAATTTCCCCAAAAAAAAACTCATGACAAGGAATGAGAACAAAAAACGTATATATATAAGTAAGGGCTATCGACCTTCCGAAACGGAAAGTTTATTTTCTCAGTTGAAAAAAAAAATGCAACGAAAAACTTTTTCGACAATAAACATGGCCCCTACGAATAAGAGGGAATACACGCGATGTCAATCGATTTTCCTTTATCAGGTACGAAATTGAGTTCTCTCAAGGCATAGCACTAGGTCCGATAAAAAATTCATCAATTTTAAATCAAGGTTACGGAAAAAATAAGTTGTGAGAAGAAAAGAAAAACTTTATATATATATATGAAACAAAAACAAACAAATTTAAAATTTTATAATAATCAGAAAGTTTTGACTTGCAAAATAATTAAAAATTATATAAATCAATATATAATTAATTAATTCAAAGAATCAATATTCTAAACGTTTTAAAGTTTAATATATAATAACAAAAAAAATTCATAATGGTAACGCTATTGATTTAAAATTCAGAGCAATGTTGTTGACTCAAGGTTCGTTACCTTTTTTCAGTAGAAAATTTTCTTTATAAAATCAAATTTTTTTTGTCAATGTAACTTCATTTAAGGTAACGTTTCTCTCCAATTAAGTAAATCTAATTGAATTTAAGTCAATTACATTATTAGGTACAAAATTTTCTTCTTTCAAGACTCTAGTTTCTTATTATCAGTCTATGTTACACTAAAAAAAATTATTTTATTCAAATAATTTGCTATTTCATTATTATTAAATAAATATTTACTTGTACCAAATAAATAATTTAATAATAATAATTAATTTACTTGAACCAATTATTTAAATTAAATAAATTGTATTTGAACCAATAAATTTATGTTTTTTAAACAAATACCAATTAATTGACTTAAATAATAATTATTAAATATTTATTTGATAATAGTCAAGCTACCGCGAATATTTGAATCAAATTAATTTTTTTTCAGTGTATAAGAAATTTTTCTATACTGAATTTTAGTTTATATGATTGAGTTTAAGTGAATGAACTGAATCCTCAATATTAATTATAATTAATATTAATTATTATTTATTACTTAATTAATACCATTTATATTATATTTTCTTTATAAAAACTGAACTTTTCACTGAAATTCAATAATTTTCATTAAATGCAAGTCAAAATAAATATATAAAAAAGCAATTGAGAAATTTGATTTGAAAAACGATTCTAAAAGTATAAAAACAAGATTTTACCGAAAAAATAAAAAAAAATCGTACCTAATAGAAAAGTTTTATCTGGACTTTGACGAATTCTGCTGAGCAGTAAGTAGAAAATGCCTTCAGTAGTAAAGCTTCCCACGCGTCAGACAAGTCGGGACGGACACCTCGAACTCTCTATATCTGTCATTCACTAAACACGTGCTCGCTGTCACTGACAGTAAATACATATCATCACCAAAAATATATACACAAATCAACAACTACTATCACAAATATCAACCTTTGTATTTTTCATTTTTTTCTTTCAAAATCAAAAATTAATCCACACTTTTTTCATCTTTACTTTAATTTACAAACACCTTTACTTCATCGACAATTACAAAATCAGAATTTCCTTTCACATTTCACACATATTGTGATTTATATAAATATAAAAATATACATATAATAAGAGGCAAGAAATGAGTCGCAAAATAATTCTCTACTTATATAGATACATAATTGTGATACGTAAAAGTAGAAATGATGAGAGTTTTTTGCGAACCGGTCGACGACCTTATTTGATGCGAGGCGCCGCTACGAGTGGGAGTGTCAGGAAAAAAAAAGGGTCGCATATAAGAGAAAGTCACGCGCTTTACCTTAAATGTCAACTTTTGTGTTTTAATTATTCACCACCAGAATCCATTTGATGAGAGAGGAAAAGAAAAATAGAAAACCTTTTCTTTTTTTTGAAATATTCTTTTCTTTTGAAAAATACGAAAATGTTGCGCGTATGAAAGATCGCGCGCGACTGACCGTTTCAGAGTGAAAACGATAACAAAATGCGCATGCGTTGCCCGGCGTGTTCTCCCTCCCAATTGTCTAAAAAGCACTCGCGCTCCCTCTACGTCCACCCCTCTACGCGTCACAAGAGAGGAGAGAACCACCCTCGTACCCTTCTTTAACCCCCCCTCCCCCTCGCCCCTCTCTCTACCTATATAGCTATATAGTACCTATAGTAGTACCGCGCCTCGATTCGCGACCGCGAATGCACACACCGACTACGCTAACTTTACTTTCAATGATTCTGACTTATCCCCATATATACGTGTCTGGGTTTCAACCCTCTTGTCGTTTCTCTATCACACTCTTCTCTACTCGACAACCACGCAGCCGCACTTAATTAATTATGTATTTTGCGAATCCGACCCTTCTGAAAACTCCCCTCCTTCCCCACCCACTCCCAACAAATATAATACCAGCGTGAGGATTTCTCTTTTACAAGGGTTTATATACGCGACGGCACTCGATTAGCTTATATTCACATGATAACCGCAAAAGAAAGTGTAACCGACAATTTTTCGCGACATAAAAGCAGGTCCGATTATTATGATCAATAAATCGATAAAATTGATGAGTTCATTTTGATTTCAAATGAATATCTGAGGAGTAAATTTTTAAAATCTGATGAATCCATTTTTCAAAAAAATGGAGATAAACATAAATTTAATATTTTAAGGACCTCACAAATCTTCCTGTCGCTGTTAAATTTACTCTCTAAATCTGAATTAGTAAAAATGTTTACTAATTTGAATTAGTGACTCACTTTTTGCTTATGAATTAGTAAAATTTTACTAATTCTAAAGCAAAAAGTGAGTGATTTTTTCTAATAAAAATTATAACTCATCTTGGTTATGTCCAAAAGTTTTTGAATTGAAAATTCGTTGTTAACAAATTTTTTTTCTTACTCTCTAAATCTGAATTAGTAAAAATGTTTACTAATTTGAATTAGTGACTCACTTTTTGCTTTAGATTATTCAAATTAGTAAACATTTTTACTAATTCAGATTTAGAGAGTAAGAAAAAAAATTTGTTAACAACGAATTTTCAATTCAAAAACTTTTGGACATAACCAAGATGAGTTATAATTTTTATTAGAAAAAATTACCAATACCTGTAAATCATTAAATTATGATAAAGTTTAATTAAAAACAGAACGTCTTGAATATAAAAACATTGTTATAGAATTAAACTATTACAAATTTTATATTTTAAAAGTAACTGCAGTGATTATGTGAGAAAAGTCGTTTGTTTCAATTTCTCGAAATAAGAAAATATGGATTTATCAGGTTTTGAAAATTTGCTCCTACAACAGAAAGGGAATTAAATTTATAAAGACTGAAATAATGTAAATCCTATGTATATAAGAAAAGGGGAAATGACATTAAGTATAAAAAAGTACAAAGACGTTATTAAAAGAAAAACGATATGAGATAGAAAAAATTGAGTCAATAAAAAGAAAGAAAAAAAGGAAGAAAAGCCCTATGTACAATGAATATATATATATATATATATATATATATCTATGAAAATATATAACTTAAAAGACGAGAGAAAAAAGACTTAAGACATGAAAAAGATATTTTTAAATGAAAAAACTTTTTTCTAAAGAGAAGCAGCTCTCCTTTTCAATAATAACTTTTTTTTTAGTTTTTATATGGTAATTTTGTTTTCCATTATTAAACCACATTTTATTATCATATAAAATCAATTTATTAAATTATTTAAATTTTTAATGAATTAGTGAGAAATCGTTCTTTAAATAAAAAAATTTACTAATTTTTAGTAATATATTAATATTTAATTTAGTAATTTTTTATTTTGAAACAGTAATTACTAATAAAGTTTTCGTGAAAAATAAAAATTAGTAGAAATTTTCACTCACAGAAAAAACGCTGGATACTCTCTAAATCTGAATTAGTAAAAATGTTTACTAATTTAAATTAGTGACTCACTTTTTGCTTTAGAATTAGTTAAATTTTACTAATTGTTAGTAAAAGTTACTAATAATTAGTAGAATTTTACTAATTGAGAAGCAAAAAGTGAGTCACTAATTTAAAATAGTAAACTTTTTTACTAATTCAGATTTAGAGAGTAAATTTTGTTGCGGGTAATTTTAACCAATGCTAATTCACATAGACAGTGGCGCCCTCAACTAGAATAAAATTTGTTGCAGTTAATTTTTATACCGATTTTAAGGTAAAAATTCTACTTTTTTTTAGTGTGGTTAATATTTAGTAAAATATTACTAGGTTTAGTAATTTGTTTTTTTTTTTACTAAAATTTTAGTGTAAAATGACTAAAAATTAGTAGAAATTTCTCCTAATTTATAAATTAGTATGTAAATACTTTTGTAATTGGAAAATAGAAGAAAAGTAATTTTAAATAGGAAGTTTTTTAAAGTAAAGAAGAATAGAATATTGATTTACGAATAAATACAAGACTATATAAGTTTAATAAATTAATCGCGTTAAAGCAATTGATTAGTATACAATAGTGTCCTATCTCAATGCTCACTTTGAAATATATTATTTCAATAACAATTGTTACAATTCTTTTTGTTTCAATAACAATGTCACGTACGTTTTAAAGACACGTGTATGAATTTAAAACTATACAAATTTAATCATCAATAATTAATATTAATATTTAAAAACTTCTCTTTTTTTTGAAAAAAGTCAATTCATTTCTAAGAAATAGTACTAAATTTAAATTAGTGAAAAATAACAATTAAAAAAACAGTTTCTTTAAATCGAAATAATTCAATGACAAAACAAATTTTACATACACCACTATCTCTGTTTGAAAATTTGACCACTTAAATTTGGATTATCCAATTCGAGGGAGTCTCTACCCCTAATCCATTTAACGAGATTTGTAAACAATCGTTGGAAACATTTAAATCGCTTTATATATAGTCATCTTTTCACGCGAAGGGTTAATCCTATTCTTCTCAATCTTCCGACGAAAGAGAAATCACAGCGTTTGAACGTTAATTAAAGTTAATTAAGCGCCCGGAACGATACGTCGTTGAATTTCCAGAATGCTATAATTAGTCTTTACAAATTTGCAGTTATCAAATATGAAACAATCCTTCTTTTCACATCCTCATTTCAAAAAAAAGAATTAATTGATCACTTTGATTTGATTTCTATTTGTGGTTTTTTTTTTACAAATAAAAAACAAATATATTCAAGATAAGCAAAAAACGAAGACCAAAATGTAAATACGAAATAAAAAAACAAAATAAGGAGAGAAAAAAAATTGAAGAGGTATAATTTGCCTGAGACGTTTTTTCTTTCGTTTCTTTAAAAATTTGCCTTGTAGCACTCGCACTGAAATAACTCAAGTTTGATAGAGCATTATTTTTTTTTTGAGAGAGAAAAAGGCGCAAGCAGAAGCTTGAATACATGGAACCGAAAGAGAAAAAAATTAAAGGCACGTAGCTTTATTTTCTAAAATAACCCCTTTGAAGCAAGTTGGAGGCTACTCTTGTGGAAGAAAAGGTTGCGACTTAAATTCGTAGAGCGTTGCTTGCAGGGGCATGAACTCGAGTACAATTATTTGTAATTGGGTTACATCTTAAAAAAATTATGTGCCTAAAAATTATTTTATAATAATTGTTTTGTAATATTTATTTTATAATAATTATTTTATAATAATTATTTTGTAATGATTATTATTTAACAATTATTTTATTTTCCGTAAATTGTAATTCAAATTTTCGAAAATATTCACTGAATTCAAAGGATGAAAATAAGTATAAATTCCCGCAAGTTTTTTTTCCTAATGCTCTCTAATTAAACAGTCGACAATTGTAACAATCAATATAGCAATTAATCAGAGTCGTTTATACTAGTTACAATTGATAGTAATTTCAATCGATAGTTTTTGATTCGTTTTATGTTTAATTAGTTAATCAAAGTTCGCGTGAACTTTAAAGTAAGTCATTTCGTCGTCTTAATAGGAAATTGATTTTTCTTTTTTCTTTTTTCTTGACAATTTGCTCTAGACATTAAAACATTTATACAAATAAATACACAAATAGTGTGATCAGGAAATTCCTTTGCATTTCCCACGCGTTCATTAAAAATAGTTTTTTTTTTTTACTTGCGTCACTGTACAGAATTATCACAAAACTTGTGCATTTTCGCTATAGAGAACGATAAAAATATTCCGATGGTTAAAAGAGAAAATGAGTACGGACAGAACTGTATTATAAAAAAGCGACTCACATAAAATATTTATATTCTAAACGTAATAGGAAATAAATAATTTCCATTTAACTAAATACTGATTTTCAATCGGATATTTGAAGCTGTTTTTTATAAAAAGAAAACAAAAACGAAATTCTTTCTATAACAAAAAATAAAGAATAATTATTCTCGTCCAAATATAGTTCTCCGTTCCTTCGAACTCCAAACGAGGGCAGCGTTAACTTCCTCATTAAATTTTTACGAATCACGTGATCTCGAAATTAAACTGACATTCGCTTTTAAGAAAGAAGAAAAAAAAACATTCGTAATACTGATATTATCGATAAGTTGCTTGACAACTGCTAGTTATATTCGTTTATTAATAATCTCTATATAAATAAAAAAACCATCGTAAAATGAATGGTACAATTTTTATTTTAATTAATTCGATAATTTAATTTTGAATTACTTTAGTTAAAAATCTATTCAATAAAACTGATTCAAATTCAATAAAACTGATTCAAATTCAATAAAATTAATTCAAATTTTAAAAAAACTAAGATTAGAAAAAAATCAGATTGAAACAAAAGC